CATTTCCAAAGAGCCCTTCCCTGTTGGTGAGCACGAGGTCAAGCATGGCACCTCTCCTTGTCGGCTCCTCTATTATTTGCAGAAGGAAGTTGTCTTCCACACAATCGAGGAACCTCCTGGATTGCTTGTGCCAGGCCGTACCGTCATTCCAACAGATGCCAGGGTGGTTGAAGTCACCCATGAGAACAAGGGCCTGTGAGCGTGAGGCTTTTCCTATCTGTCTATGGAGTGCTTCATCCGCAGGTTCTCCTTGATCAGGCGGTCTGTAACAGATCCCAACAGTAATGTCTCCCATAGCTGTTTTCCCTTTAACCCTGACCCGCAAACTCTCTGTTAACTGCTCACCTGTCCCCAGACACAGTTCCATACTCTCCAGCCTATCCCTAACATAAAGGGCAACTCCCCCTCCCTGCCTGCCAGGCCTGTCTTTTCTAAAAAGCCTGTAACCTTCCATTCCAACATCTCAAATCTTTATCCCATTCTTGGCTGGCTATTTCCTTGTGGGAACTAGCTCAGAACCTACGTGTTAGCTTTCCCTTTCAGACACCCATAATATTCTCTAACCCTGCCTGGGATAGGCTCTGTGGCCCATTTCTCTCTTCAGGGTGCCAATCAGAAGTAGTCCTGCTGAAGCTAGTGGCAATATTCAGGTGTGTGCTAACACAGCATGTCAGTACTGTATAACATGTTGACTATTCACCATCATAGCTTTGCCAGTGGAGTTGGAAATCACAATCATCCCCATCTGTGCTCCTGAGAGTTTTGCAATGACCATGAGCATGGCTGTTGTTTATGTGTATGTTTACCAGAGTACCTAAATAAGTGGTCCAATGTTCAAAGGTACTGAGCAGTTTCCAGTGAGCTCAGGTTGCAATGGCTTCCCCGGTTTGGCTCCTAAGTACCAATTTAAATCCTGATTTAAGAAAAGAAAAGCTGGCCTAAAATGCCAATGTCACAAGTGTACCCACGCTGTCCTGGGTTCAGCAGTAGCAGTCATTTTTCTCCTTCTTGGTAGCTGGTGCAGCGCTGTTTTGACTTTCGGCCTGGGAACAGAGCTGATAACAATGATGTTTTGGTTTGGCCAAGGACTTTGTGAGCCTCATGCTCTGCCAGGGAGGAGGGGAAGCCGGGAGGAAGCAGAGACAGGACACCTTACCCAAACTGACCAAAGAGGTATTCCATACCACAGCACATCATGCCCAGGGGGTAACTGGGAGTTACCCAGAAGGGCTAGTACAGTGCAGGGTTGGAGAAGGTATCAGTCAGTGCTTGGTTGGGCTGGGGGGGGTGAGTTATTGGTTGGTTGGTGGTGAGGTGTTGTATTCTCTTCCCTTGTTATTTCCTTTATCATTACTATTATTGGTGGTAGCAGCAGTGATTTGTGTTATACCTTAGTTACTGCACTGTTCTTATCTCAACCCGTGGGAGTTGCATTCTTTTGATTCTCTTCTCCATTCCTCCGGGAGTAGGGGGAGGACAAGAAGGGGGGGAGTGAGTGAACGATCTACCTGGCTGGGTTTAAACCACAACACATGCCCAGGGGCAGATCTACACTGGATTCCTAGACACAGACACTAACTGGCATCAACAACTTCCTGATGGTCCTCCCGAGCAAGCAGGAAAATCTCCTGACCTAACTTCAGACATTCACAGTGTTGGCATCACCACTGTATTATCTTCCCTGGCACCTTTACAGTCCCTGAAGAGTAACAGGCATTTGGGATATGAGTCACCAGGCCTATTTTAGACTTCTATTTTAGATAAGATGGTTTGTGGCTTGAAGAGTTACCTACTGAGTGCAAAGGCAACCCACAGTGACCTGCAGAGTGGTGGTTGTTGGCTTCAGCAGTTGCTCAAGTAAACCTAACCCTGCATCTGAAAGCAAGGATGCTCAGGCATCATGCTAATGCCAACACATTAATGACATGCCAACAACAGGAGGAAGTTATTTGCTTGTTTTCCCTAAAACAGTGCCAACAAAGGGATTTATTTCAGTAGTTAGGATGCAAATGGAAATAAAATAATCTTTTCAATGCAGATAATACCTTTGGTTAGTCTGTTTGCATCAGTTTTAACTCCAGTGTAATACAAATAAGCTCTGGAACAGAAATGTGGCTCAGGTAGTTATGTCCTTTGTACAAACAAGAATGAAAATTAATGTCTTCTAAGATGGAAAAGCAATCATATAAAACAGAGTGGTACAAAACAGGTTTCTAATACAAAATTACCCATCCAGCTTCTCAAATCTCAGGTAAGCCTGTTCTCCTTTGTAGGGCTTTAAATCAATGCAAGACTTCAGCCTGAACATGTCAAACATCTGCAGGATAACATCTTTAGCATTCAGATCTGAAACAGACAGCAGAGGGTAACAATAGCAGTTATTTTGCCTTTATAGTATTGTAAATATCTATAATTCTAGATAGAAAGTATGAACAAGCGTGCATTAAAGCTATGAACACATATTACAAATATCTACCTGCATGAAAGAGCAGGAGGCTGTTAGCAGAATTCCCTGAATGAAGTAATTTTGGCAGAGCTCATAGAGAGAGATTATATTGTGGATAAACTGATAATGCTGAAACAAGCAAACAGGCTTTTGGACATCCAGGGCATTGCTCATGTTTCACTGGGCAATGTTACTGCATATTACTATGGAATTTTAAGTATTGTAAACTTTGAGCTTGGGGCTAGTAAACACAGGAGAAATGTGCAGGATTTTAACAGATTTAATATTAGATTTTACTCTTAAATTGTTCAGAATTTCAAATAGTGCCTAAAACTAGCTGAAAACAAGGAGGGAGAATGCTCTGAACATTTTTTACTTCTAGAGCACCTGCATTTCCTTTCTGCCTGTACTGAGGTGGGCCTGTTAAGAAGAGATAAGGCACAAAGGGTGCAGTATTTCAACATGCCTTTTCTTGAGATTAGGATTTCCTGACTTCATTATCTAGAGATGCACTGATACTAGTCGAATTGGCTGCTCGTCAGCATCTGGCTGGTCACTGGGGCTGTTGCACTGAAAACAGTGTCCTGGGGCAGAGTTGCATTGTTCTATCTGGCCAGCAGTAAGAAGGGCAGCATAATGCAGCCCTTGTTATTAAATTAATGCAGCATACCTCAATAGCAAATGAAACAAAAGCAGCCCAGAGAGCTGGACAAAAAGAGAGTATATCTAATGCAAGTAATACCATGCTACCATAATAAAAAGTCTTACTACCCAGGCTGTCAGCTGGGATATATGCGTTGGGAAATTTCCATCTGTAGGAGTTGTTTCTCAGAGCATTCCTCTCCAGCTGTTAATGAGATCTGCATGTTTGTATTAACATTTTAAGCCCAGTCTTTGCTGATGCTGGTTTAGAGCAGCAGCACATAGTGGTAAGATAATATCAACTTCAAAAAGCTTCCTTCCCGTTTCTGAAATGAGATAAACAACCATTTAGGCAGGGTAACATATCAAGAACTACAATATATGCTTTTTCAAGGACCACACAATTCATCAGGTTGCCTCATCAACCAGCCCATACCTCCCTAAACAGTAACTGCCCAGAAAGAAGCAAACAACCAACCATTACACACTATAACATGCCCGTTCTCTGTCAGAAACTAAGGGGATTTGGGGCTGAATAAAGATTTCTGCAACAGTTTAGTAACACCTGCCCAGAGGAGATTTTATTCTTTTTCTCAGGCTTGTATCCTGAAATAACTGTGGACTTCTGAACAATAACACTGATATCCTGGTGGAATGGATTTGTTTGGAAGTTGGGCATCTAATAGCCTAACTAGTTAGCTAACCTTGGTTAATCATCTGGGATTTCTTGTATGATTAAAGGAGACAGACAAGGATTCTGTACAGGGAAGAGGTTGAGCCTGAACCAAGCTCAGGTTGAAGCAATTAAATCTATGTTCTCTGTGTCTCAGATCCCGTTACAGCTGTGTGTTCATCCAGATGCCTAAACATAGGAGTCTGGTGCCATTTGAGATGCACAAGGTTATCCATGGGCCGGTAGATGAAAAGCTTGAGATATTGCTTCCCTTCTACAGTGGTGCTGGGGGGGACTGGCAGCAGACAATGCTGTTTTAAGCAGCTGATCCACATCTTCCATGCTTTAAAAATCATTTGAAGATCTAATTTTATACCCTTATTTTTTGTAAGGTGCCAGATTCCCCACACAGAGCTGAGGCCAAACCCCAGCCACTGTATGGTCCTGCGAGTGTAACATTTTCATTTAGTGCCCTTGTACAAGCACAATCCCAGCACAGGCAGTTAATTTTCAGCCCTTTTGTTATAGAGATAACTTATACTCTCCTCACATACATATGCAGAGAAGAAAAAAGCCCCTAATGCTACACCACGCTTTCTGTTCTGTCACTAAAACCAGAGGAAACTTACGCCAGAGCATACAGCAGAAAATGGGCAATGTCAGAAAATAAAAGCTCTCAGTGCAATGTTCTGAAACCCTGCGACAGGGATGAAGGTACTTGGGCTTCATATCTTGGTCACGGATCGTGTGTAACCAACCAAGATAAATTCACATCGGCAAAGCAGAAGCTGAACTACAGCCACTGCCAAGGTTTCTCTGGGAGTTGTGCTGCAGAAGAGCACAGGGGAGACGTTGCTGTTAAGCCTGAAGAAGAGAAGGCTGCGTGGAGACCTCACAGAAGCCTTCCGGTATCTGAAGGGGAGCTGTAGGGATGCTGGAGAGGGACTCTTCATTAGGGACTGTTGTGACAGGACAAGGGGTAACGGGTTAAAACTTAAACAGGGGAAGTTTAGATTGGATATAAGGAGGAAATTCTTTACTGTAAGGGTGGTGAGGCACTGGAATGGGCTCAGGGAAGTTGTGAATGCTCCATCCCTGGAGGTGTTCAAGGCCAGGTTGGACGAAGCCTTGGGTGACATGGTTTAGTGTGAGGTGTCCCTGCCCATGGCAGGGGGGTTGGAAATAGATGATCTTAAGGTCCTTTCCAACCCTAACTATTCTATGATTCTATGATTCCTCATGAGCAGCTGAATGTATTGCCAAATTTATGATGAAGATTTTGGGCTTCCTACACATTTCTAATGTTTAAAGAGCAGCTCCTACATTTATATCCCCCAGAAAACAAGTGCATCATTCTGAAGCGAGAAAATGCTGGTGGTTTATTTCACGTAGCTGTATAGCCATTTGTTGGGTCTAATATTTTTCCTGATTACACCAGCCAAGATCTAGTTTGTAGCTGTGGTCCCAATGTGCAGGGTCCAATGTACAGGGCCCTGTACAAACTCAAAGTCTATTGGCAGTCCATGCTCTACAGAGCTTGACACACTTTTCCCGTTAAAGACCCACAGTTTCCAGGACTTAAATTTGTTTGGAAGCTTGGGAATATTTCAGTGTGGCAGGAACCCAGCATGGACCCGTCCCTGAAGCTCTTTACATTGCTAGCAGGTGTGTTTTGAACCTGTGCACAGGACTCATATTTATTTTTGCCCTTTTCCTTTATATGCTTCAACTTCAAACTTTAAGAGAAAGTCCTGCTTTTCTTTCAATGTCCTCCCCCTACCAAGCGGCTTTTCACTTAAAATTGAGGCATTACCATTAGGAAAGCTAAAATAGATCTCAGTGCCTCTAGAGGATCAAAATGAACTCCAGTTTCCAGCATCTTGGTTGAATTTTACATCTCCTGGTCTCTCAGATGAAAGAGTGACTTCCCTGCCTGTGTTTTCCTGAGCGCACCCCTCCACATGAGCATCACAAGTGACAAAGGGACAGAAGAACACAGATCATGAATCTTGACAGTGATCAAACATGGGACAGTCACTAAATCACAACATTGCCCATTGCAGAAAAACATCTACATTGTTTGTGCTATCCAGCACAGCTCTTGTGAACCGAAATTCAAATACTGAAGACTGACACTGATACCAGGTAAGGGAATACGCAGCACATTTACATTCCTGCACCTGCCCTGCTCTGAACAGGAGCAGCACCAAAATCCCAGCCTTCTTCCCTGCTCTATAAAGCTCCCTCACATGACACTCATAGAACAGCAGTTGCTAACCTGCGTTAAGCATTGGTGCAACAACCTACTCTTCCAGCGGAGTGTCACCATCCATCTTGGAGGATGAATTTGTGCTACTCTCAAGAAGAATTCAATGTCACTTCATATGATACCCTGGCTATTGTCATCATCACATTTCAGGCACTTGCTGGCACGTGGATAAATGCTTTCATCATTTCTGTGATTTGTATTTCTTGGGTCAAAAAGAAAAGCTTTAACTCTAATGAGAAGGTCATGCTGTTTCTAGGATGCTCCAGGTTTGCGTATTTGATCGTCACATGGGTGTATTGCCTTCTCGCAATACTTTATCCCACATACTTTTATGTTCACCCCATACCGCAAGTAGTTGTAGCTGTTCAAAGCTTTTTAAACTCTTCCAACTTGTGGGTTTCTGCCTGTCTGTGTGTTTTTTATTGCGTAAAAGTTGCCAATTTCAGGTACACCTTCTTCCTGTACCTGAAAGTGAAAATTGACAGGATTGTGCCATGGCTGTTGCTGGCTTCAGTGCTTTTATCTCTGGTCATCTGCATCACTGTCTACTACGTCACTGATAAGGCAAAATGTGTCCACCCCAATTCCACTGCCCTAGAAAACTTCTGGAAAATGGATGTCAGAATGAGTGAAGAATTTTTTCCTGTTTTTCTTATCAGCGGCTTTGGATTTGCCACTGCATTCATGGCAGTCATCTTTTCTGTCCTACTCATCTTTTCTCTCTGGAGACAAAAACGCAAGATGCAGAACAACTCAATGAAGGAACTCAATATGGACGCCTATATCAAAGCCATAAAATCTATTCTGTCCATCTTCATTATTTACAGCTTTAATTTTATATGTTTGATCTTGACACTGATTTATGCCACAAAGAAGGAAAATACTGTGTCATTTCTCATTTTCATATTCCAGTATGCTTTTCCATCTCTTCATTCCCTTACTCTGATTTTCAGCAATCCCAAACTGGAAAATGCACTGCTAAGGACTCTACCCTGTGTGAAGTGCAAGGTTTGCAAGAAGTAGGAACTGTAATAAAAGCTGAAGCCCATTAAAAATGTTGATATTTTGTTATAAAACCCAAGTAATTTAATCTCTAATGCAACTCTCCAGTCAGTGTAGATGATACAGATGTTCTACCTTCACTATCTAAGTTAAGAAAGCTTCATTACAATTCTTTCAATTATTCTGAGTTAAATAAGTTACTATTATCATTTATACAATTCGTTGTGTAAGTTATTGTCAAAGTAAATCAGACCTGGTACATGGGCTAGATGCAAAAGTGGAATAACACTACTGCAAACCTCCTAAAAATTTGGTATCTGCTGATTGAAACTACTGAACTAAACATGTTTATATCTATTTGTTGTTTTACATTTATTTCTGCTTTCACAGTCCATAATAATATGAGCTGTATCACTATCATGCATTGGTTTATAGCACAAGCGTGAATATGTTGATCACTATTACTCACCAGAGGTGCTAACTGGCTTTAGCAATACAGCCAGTATTGCTAAATACTGGCCACAGGGTGGACAGGTGGGGTGGAAAGCCCCTGTACCACACCAGCCTTATGTGTCCTCTCTCTGCCACACTTCACGTGAAAACATGATTTCCTCTTCTCCATGTGACTGCGCCCCTGCTCTGCATTTTGTTTCTCATGACATCTGCTGTTACCAGTGGACTCTGGAGCAGTAAAGCACCGAGGACAGTGCGTTTTGTGCAAGGTGTGATCTCGGATGAAGTCAAGCTTTCTTCTTGCAGTGACCCACTGCAGTTGTACACGACGTTTGTGCCACGTGCTGGCAGTTGTGGGGTCCATGGGAGCCTCTCTGAGGAAAGGTCAAGGCTGCTCCATGCCAGGGAAACCCAGCTCCAATGGACCCACCATAGCAGCACACAGATCAGCCCATCAGCAGTGCTGGTGGTGCCTCTGGGAAAATATCTTTAAGATGGGGAAAACCACTGCCCAGCAGTGAGGAGTGAGGAAAATTGTGAGGAACAGTCCTGCAGCAAACAAGGTCAGAGAAGGAATGGAAGGAGGTGCTCCAGACACTGGAGCAGAAATTCCCCTGCACCACATGGAGGTCCACGGTGGAGCAGATATCCTCATGCAGCCCATGGAGGACGCCACGCTGGAACAGAGGGATGCCCCAAAGGACTGAAAACTGTAGGGAGCCCACACAGGAGCAGGCTTATCCTGAAGGACTGCAGCCCATGGGAAGGACACATGCTGGGACAAGGGAAGAGCTTGAGGAGAAAGAAGTGGGAAAGAAAATAAATTATGGACTGACAGCAATCCCCATTCCCCTGCACTGCTAGAGGGAAGGAGGTAGAGAAGCTGGGAATGAAGAAATGAGGCTGAGAAGAGGGGGTGGAAGTCATGTGTCTTGGGTTTGTCTTTGTTCTTCATCACCCTACTTTTATTTTCAATTGGCAATAAATGAAACTGATTTTTCCTAAGTCAAGTTTGTTTTGCTCATGATGGCAACTGGTGAGTGATCTCCCTGTCTTCATCTTGACCCATGAGCTTTTTCACCTGTGAGCAAAAGACCATTCCCTTATTCTCTTCCCTATTCTTCTCCATCCCCACAAAAATGAAAGGGGAAGAGCTTAAAAGGAAAGTACAAGGAGCTGTTTCCAAATCATCAGCTTTCACTCTTTTCTGGCTTTTCCTGCAATAGTAAAGCAAAAAAAAACAAAAACAAAACAAAAAAACCCACCCAAAAAATTTACATTTCTGTTGTTCTGTAATAAAGATGGGTTCAAAGGGTTTGATTCATCTGATCAAAATCAGACACTCAGAGGACACTGCCTATAGCTGTTTGCTTTTAGCTGTAATTGCACTTTTTAGATCAGATGCCCAACTCCACAGAGTCCCACTTTGACAGCAGGAGACACTACACTCTCAATCTGTTGAGACACTGTGTCCAGACAGAGGCAGATCTTACACACCTCATTCAGACACGTGTCTCCAGCTTTAAAGGCCTTTTTAAAGGGCAGGAACTACCACACCTCCCTTCTTTCCCTCTGTTGCTCATGCAGTTGATCATTTAATGTGACAGTCCCAATCACAAGACCATCTTACTCCCTACAACCCATGCAACATCGTCCCTCAAAACATCACATGCCACAAAACTCAGCAGGCAAAACCAATATCTTGCAGATGTTATTGCACAAAAAGAATGCAGCCCAATTAAGCCACCTCCATAAACCCCTTGTGAACATCATGCACAATGCAGCATCACCCTCCAGTTTCCAGCATCCAGCCCCACCCAGCTGGCACTGGAGGAGATAGGTTCTAAAACAGCACAGCTGCACTGCACAGCTCATACGCTAAAGGTGCTCTCTGGAGAGATGCAGTGATGTGCCCAGCCCCAGGGAAAGTGTTCCTCAACTACACGACATTCACCAGCTGGCCTCAGGGCTAGAAACAGCCCTGTTTGGCAGTATGGAAAGAGGTACTCTGTCCAATATGTGTCTCCACTTGCACTGTCACCAGTTCAACAGTCAGGCCAACTGTGAATGGAGTTGATGTCTCACATGGCTTGGGAATTACAAATCACAGAATCATTGAATGGTTAGGGTTGGAAAGGACCTTAAGATCAAGACAAAGCTGGGAGCTTGCCTTTTTTTCCATAGGCATCTTGACTCATCTGGGATGCCTAGGGTACCCGAGACATCTGCATGGGGTTGGGAGCTACACCACAAGATCTTCTGTATACCTGCAGGGTCAGTCTGGGTACTTGAGAGCACCTCTCATGGCTTAGACACCTCTGTGTAGATGGCTGAATTAATCCCTGGAAATCTGCAAGAGGGAGATGGATCACAGCACTGTTGGTTACAGCTGCAGTGCTCAAGTGCTGGGTAAAGGATACCTGTAACTAAGGCACTCCAGAAGCACAAGGTCTGGGTAATGGAGGGGAAGCAGATGGGAAAGGAGGCAGATATACAAGAGCAGGCGAAGCAGACACATAAAAGATGTCAGAACTCAAAACAAATGGCTGCCCACTGCTAGCATGGAACGGAAAACTGCTCTGGGTCAAATCCAAACTCTTTATGATTGAGAAGTGAAACAGTTAAAAAGTATTTTCCCATGAAGAGTGTTGAAGTGCAGAGGGACAGCTCAGCACCAGCTCCACAGCATTCCTATGAGCATAGACATAAAAATGGCTGGGAGCACTGCTAAAAATAAGGCAGTGCTCTAACTGTCTTGGCAGCCATACATGTCTGAAAGCATCAACGAGAGTAAAAGGTCAACATCAGCGCCTCTCCTTCAGCCAGAAGAAACAACTACACCCCACTCTCAAAGTGAGAGGCACCACCAGAAGCTACAAGTCCCTACAGAGCCTCCTGGTGACTCAGGATGAGAGCAAATAAGCAAAGGCCATGAACATCAGCAGAGTGAGCAGAACAGTCCCAGGTGCTTTCATGAATCAGTTAGGGGCAAAACCATTTCCCTCTCAGACGCTATAAGAAACTGCTGTCATTTCTGTAAATTTATACATTTCAGTGAATTCGAACATAAGAGTGTATTTAAACATCCTCTGCAGTTTTCTGAGATCTGACACATACAGACACACAGACAGAAAGAGGCACTTGTACGTGCTCACTGTGAACAAGAGTATTTACAGTACATCACAGGGATGCATCCTGGTGGCCATCTGCTCCTGTTCATCCATATTTCACCCTGCAGGTGCACTTGAGGTCTGTCAGGGTCATTGCTCTGCACTGCAAGTTGTCAGTGGCACCAAATAGGCAGGGCACACTACTGCTTCTCCCTTTTTTTGGGACTTTTCTTTTGCGCAAAGGATGTATATCTCTTCCAGGAACATGGTGGGTTTCTCTTAAGTTCTTCTTTCTTGAGTTCCCAGTCTTCATCAACCTGGTCTAATGGGATTCCTTTCATTGCAGCTGTCCTGCGATAGTTTCTGCTCTCCACCTCTGCTCTGGAGAAAAAAGCAAGAGAGCATGTTCAATACAACACTGGGCACAGCACAGTCACACCACCACTCATAAGCAGCCCACCTACATCGTATATTGGTATGTTCACAACACTGTTGCCAGCAATACATAAGAAAACACTGAGGTTCATCCCAAATCTAACAGCATTCCTCACCCCATGCAATCAGGTACTCACTGAGAGTTGGGTTGAAGTGGGAAACCTTTGGTAAGGATCAAAGATTGGACTTTTACCACTGGAATCATAATTTTAGCCATCAAAGCTCTGAAAGACTGATCTTGTGAATGTCTGTGGTTTTAAATAGGCTTAACCGCATTTAACGCAACTGTACACGGTATATTAACTCACTGCAACGTTCCCAATTTCTTTTATTTTTTTTTGTACTGCTCATTCGTAAGTACTAGAAACTCTTACTGCCAAATGACAAGTACATCTATCCTTCACTTCCAAGTCATACAACATAGAATCATGGAATGGTTTGGGTCACAAGGGACCTTTGAAGATCATGTCAACCACCAAGATTTAAGTCACTAGCTCTCTTTCACTGGGCACTCTTAAGTGTAAATCTTGTCCAAAAGAAGACAAACCCTTTTCTCCTACTGCAGAGGATGGATGTTTGTAGGTACTCAGTGTTCATGAAGCTCTGTCAGAAATACCAGTAGATATCAGGAAAAATCCTCTCTACACACATATGTGTAAGAAAGAAGGTCAATGCCCCATTGTCTGACAGTATTTAAGAGGCATTTGGACAATGCTCTTAATACATGCTTTAACTTTTGGTCATCCATGACGTGGTCATGCAGTTGGACTAGGTGATCACTGCAGGCCCCTTCCAGCTGAACTATTCTATCCTATTGTATTATATTCTATTGTATTCTGTTCCAAAGTATCTGCTACCAAGGGCAAGAAACCTCTTTCTGGGCACTTTTTTATATATGTATTTTGGTGTATACACACACACACACACACACACACACACACGTGCACACATATTATGAATGTATATATGCCCTGGACTTGGAATAGCTGGAGCCTTTGGTGCATTCAACACTCAGCACTTTGCAGAGAGCTGGTGGCAGGCACAGGCAGCGTCTCTGTGACAGCTTGGCCCCATCCTCAGCAGGTCTCATAGCATCCATGGTAAAGCCATTCTCATGCAAAAAAACCCTGATGCAAACCATGTGTTTGCTATCCAGAATCAGCTGTGTTTTGAAGGCTGTTTCCTGTCCTTTGCATGCCCATGCAAACCTCTGTGAGTGGCAGATACTCTGTAGCAAAATATTATTAACATTTGCATGTTAATAATATTTACATGTCGATACATGTAGTATTTCCATGTTGATGTGCAGCTGGCACACCTGGGGTCAGAGACAGTGTGCAAGGACCATGGTGATGCTAGATGCGGCTGAACCGGGGTTTAGGAAGGATTTGAATGCTCAGAGCCCTGTTATAATACACACGTCTGCATTTGGCACAGACCCTCAAACTTTAAAAAATTGCCTTTTCTCTCTTTTTGCATGAGAGGCAAATATCC